TGGTTATTAAGCATATTTTTAGTCTCATTTATAATATGCAAATTAAAGCCAAAGATAAGTAGATCATCCACATATAGACTAAAACAAAATATTATCTAATTTTAGTGACGAAATTGATGTTATAGAGGACGAAAAATGCAACATTTTGAAACAAAAAATTTCATCGCCAAAAATGAAAAAGAAGCGGCAAAACTGTTTTTCATTACCAGGTACTTTCAGTGACAACGTATAGGCGACAAACATGGTGAAATTTTTTTTTCGTCACAGATCACTTTAGTGACGAAAATTTGATATTTGGAGACAAAATTAGTCGGTCACCAAAGGCCTTTTTTGTTGTAGTGTAGATTTTCTTTTCTTTTAACTTCAAATCTTTCTGGCTGCTCCATATAGACCTCTTCCTCCAAGTCACCATGGAGAAATGCAGTTTTGACATCCATCTATTCTAGCTCCAAATTCAAGCGAGCTGCTAATCCCAGAGCTATTCGAATGAAAGTCATCTTCATAATTGGAGAGAAGATCTCATCAAAGTCAATTCCATTCTTCTGCCCAAAACTTTTGACCACCAAGCGAGCTTTATGCTGCAATAGTTTACTGTTGCCATCTTTCTTTAACTTATACACCCATTCGTTCTTCAAGGCTCTCATGCCTCTTGGAAGTGGAGTAAGCTCATAAGTATGATTTTCTGCAAAGAACTCATCTCCTCATTCATGGCTTGCATCCAACAATCTTTCTCTGTGTAACAACCCCAACCCATGATTAACTTTAATCCATGATAATATATGCCTAATAAGTTATTAAGATCGGATTTTGAATTAATTGCATATGTGTTGTATTATTTGTGTTTTTATCTGTTCATCGTAGACAAATCTGTTTGAATTTCTGTTATGTTCTGTAAATTGAAGGCCTTATCGGCATCCGATCACGAAATTGACTTGGTATATGTGTTATTTGGAATTTTTAGAACATTATGGTAAGTTCAATTGAAATTCAATTCGGAACGATTAAACTAGATAACTAATGTCAATTGATTAGCTATTAATGAAGTCTTCTTAATGAAGCCCATATAAGGCCACTTTGACTTCCTTAATACATTTTGCACTCTCATTCCATACTCCTCTTAGCTTAAAACGTGAAAGAGGGAGAGAAAAGAGAAGACTTGAGCTCAACTAGGGTGATTGCTAGAGAATTGAGAGGAATTGACTTGAACTTAGCTAGAATTTGAGTCATTGGGAAGAATCACTTAAGAACTCAAAGAATTGAGACTTGTAGGTAAGGAATTCAACCCTTGAATTATGTAATTAACTCATTCAAGTTGTGAATTCAGAGGAAAATGAAAGATTAGTGCATGAAATGAACTAAGGAAGTGGGACAGATGAAGAGTAGAGCTTGCATATGCGTTTTATGGTAATTTTTCAAGTTGATTTCAAGTAAATTCTCCATGCATTTCATGTTCTCAACTTAATTATGAAACTTCATGATGTTTTCCATTAATTTGCCTCAATTGATCATGTTTTGGAAGCTTTGAAGTCAAGAAAGTGCTTGCATGTAAGTCCATGTGTTGTTTTATAAGTTTCAAGTTTGATTTTACCCAATTGACTTATTCTTAGGCCTTGATTTTGTGAAATGATCTTTAATTCCTAATGTTTTCAAAGTTTAAACTTGATTTCTCAAGTTTTGGGGCCAAAAGTTGTGTTTTGATGAGTTAGATTCGAGTTTTGAGCTTGGGAGTGCAATCTGGAAATTCCAGATTTTGCACTTCCGCTCAAGTGAAGGAATCTACGCTCGAGCGACCACTCTGAGTGCGAGCATTTCCGCTTGAGCTACCAGAAGTACGCTCGAGTGTGAAATGCATGCTCCTAAAAGTTATTTTGTTTTGCAGTCCGCTCGAGCAACCAAAGTTGCGCTCGAGCGAGGGTATAAGTCTCACGCTCGAGCGAGCGTCGATGGAGCATCGAGTGGAAAAATCAGGCAACCAACACTTTTGCAAAAGTTTACAAACTGCTCGAGCGATAGATCTTGCGCTTGAGTGAACACTCACATTTTACATGTCCGCTCAAGTGTAGGAAGTTGAGCTCGAGCGAGATCTCTGTTTTCAGCAATTTTTGTTAAATGTTTTCAAGTGGATTTTAGCATCCTCATTGCATGCTAAGTATTCTTAGGCCAAGATTAAGACACCATAATGAGGATAAAGAAGTAGAAACACACCAAGACAAGAAAGAACAAAGTAAATGTTTTCGGGTGTATAATCCAGGATGTATCTTTTTTGTACCTGTGTAGGTCACGCGCCACAAGATATCTGAATCGCCTACTCTATTCGTCTGTTTGGAGCCATCTGTTATTTGTGAGTAATATCTCTGTAAAGTTATATTTGACTTTAATTATTTTCTGATGATTTGAAATGATCAGTTTTCTGAAATGCTACGTTTTTTTATAAATGAATGATTGTCCAAGTTTCTGAAATGTATTCGTGGCATCCTTAGCATCATATGACATGCGTTCCTTTTATGGGTCATCGAAACATCCCTTTATGGGTCATCGGAATGCCTTTATGGCCGTCCCTTTATGGGTCATCGGAAACATCTCTGTGCACATGAGTCATCAGAATGCCTTATGGCTGTCCTTTTATAGGTCATCGGAATGCCTTCACGGCTGTCCCTTTATGGGTCATCGGATTTGTTATCGTTAATGGATGTGCCACGTATTATGATATGAAATGTATGAACTTTGAAAATGAAAACGAACATGTATATGAATCTGTTTCTTATTGAAATCCGAATAACTCTAATTTCTAACTCTATGATGGACGTCATTCATTAAAATCCTTTACCTTGTTATTATTCACTGGGCTCCCGCTCACTATTTATACTATGTATGTAGGTGACCAGGCACAGAGTTGAGGAGTTTTTGTCAGCAAATCTTTGTACCTCCCGAGGAGGTTCTGGATTAACTCAAGTTCAGTGGCTGTTTTTGTGAATGTGTTAAACTTTGTTTTCTTTAAGTTTCGGATAAGATTTCTACTAGTATGTACATTGAGTGACGTGTAAATACTGCATCTTTTAATGTCACTCATAATTTATAAAACTTTTAAATTATATGTCCCATGTATGTCTTCACAGCTCAATGGACTATGTATATTTTACATGTTTACTTCTGTAGCCCCTAATTATATGTTATTCTATTAAGAGGCCTTTGGTAATCCAAGGATTACTGGCCAGTTACGACGCTAAACCTATAGGGGTAGGTTTGGGTCGTGACACTCTTTATGACTCTTTGCTTCCGAAAAACTCTCGGGCTCTTCTTCAACAGTAATCAGAATATACTGAGAAGTGGGATATTGGGTTAATGGCACGGCAGCTCTTCCAGATCTTCGCAACTGAGGCTCAATTGTCTCAGGTTGAGGGAGTTGCTCCCCTTACTCAACACCCTCTTCATCTAGGTCTTCATCTCTTGCCTCTTGATCCTTAATTTCTGGCATAGGATCCTGTAACTCTGGCATTTCTTGTTGCACATCATCACATCTAGCATTTTGTGATGGCTCAAGAGATGATAACAAGTCTGGAGTGATGACATCTCTAGACTTTGCAGACTTCTCAAAATCTGCTATTGTTTGGTTTTCCGGGAATATAACATCTCTGCTCCTAAACATCTTCATGTTCACTATGTCCCACAACTTGTACCCAAATGTTGTACATGGAATGGAGTTGTCATTAAGCTTCCGTCTATTTTTCTTGGAGATATGTGCGAACGCCTTACACCCGAAGACTTTCAAGTGAAAATATGATACCTTTCTTCTGGACCAAACTTCCTCAGGTATAGCAAAATTCAACGGGACTGAAAACAACTTGTTGATGAGATAACAAGCTGTGTGGGGGCTTCAGCCTAGAATGACTTTGGCAACTTTCTATTCTGAGCATGAATCTGACTCTTTCAACAATAGTGTGGTTCATCCTCTCTGCCACACCATTGTGTTGTGGAGTACCGAGAACTATTGTCTAGTGCCAGATACCTTTGCTGGCACAATATGCTTCAAAAGCATTGGAAGTGTACTCGCCACTATTGTTTGTGTGAAGACACTTCAACTTCTTTCTGGTCTCTCTTTCTACCATTGCATGGAACTCCTGAAAGTGTTGGAATACCTTATCCTTCGTCTTTAGGAAATACACTCACAACTTCCTTGATACATCATCAATGAAAGTTAGAAAATACTTACGGCTGCCAAGTGACTCCACTTCGATTGGGCCACAAACATCCGAGTATACCATACTAAGCACTTCTGTTTTCCTCTTGCTCGTTGAATTGAATGGTACTCAATGTTGCTTTCCATAAAGGCAATGATCCCACGGCTTCAGTGTATCGCCCTGAAATAATACAATAAATATAAACCAAAGCATAAATAACAACTGCATAAATTAGTGTGCAAAGTCCTTTCATTTCATAACATTAATAGTACAACAGGGTTTAACAGAAATAAATTCCCTATAGGCTTACATCTTTCCAAGTCTTGACTTGGATACAACAAAAATGAGACTAGCTCTTACAAATAAAGCCCTTGGCTATACAAAAATACATAGTCAAAATAAAAAAGCTCTTACTTCCCAAAAGTCCCTCCAATATGATTGCCTTGGTGGAGGCATGCCATCATTTCCTGAAAATGTTTTTCCCAAATAGGGTGAGTCACAGCCCATTAGGAATAATCTAACACAGTATATGAAGTTTAACGAAGATATAAGTGCAATATGCATATGCAATGCTAGAGATAAAACATTCACATCTTTATATAGTCATAGAATACCAAGTTCACATTTCATTTCATTTTCCCTTAATCCATGTCAATGCATGAGCCAATATCGTTATTTTTAAATAACCCAAATGAGACTACAACTCAATGGTTCAACAATTACATAATCAACACACAAACACTTCAAACTGCCATTTTACGGATATTTCGTCTTCCGGATCGGCACCCATGTATAAATTTCGGGACTTTCACCTAGGACACTCTGGCTAACTTAATTATAATGGAGTCCATTTCCTTTCTCTTCCCAAACAATCATACATATGCAATGTATATAAACACATAATCATATATGGAGTACATCACCTTTCTCCTCCTAAATAATCATACATATACAATGTATATAATCATAGTCATATTCAATGACAACCAACAAGAGATTAGTTTCAATTCACCTAATCCACATCCAATTTCTACAACAATCAAAGTTATCCTCCACTGATAGCTCAGTACAAATATTTCTAAACAGATATACAATATCAAGACGGATAAATTATCCAAAATTTCCAAAGATGTGAAATATTACATACTATAGATACCCCAGTTTTGATCGCTCGTAAGACTTAGGCGCTTTATTCCGAGCACTCGATGATGAAGGTTACATTGTGTAAGTGGTTTGAATTCTCAATAAAGAAATCTGATTTCAAGCTCTAAACAATCCCAACCTGTCATACCCACAATATTTCTGCCCCAGAAACTCAGTTTTGATCATTGTACCAACCTACATTGAACCTGAAAAGTGAGAAACAGTGGAACCACACTGAGGCTCGGCCGTGCCTCAGTGAAGCCCGGCCGTGGCCACTGAGAGCCGGCCGTGCCTGTTGACTTTTCAAAGCAGATTGAGTAGCAATCTGCCAACTGTCCAATTCTGCAGATATTTTGTTCAGCAGCTCAAACTCTATAAATACAGGCTCAGACCTGTATTTCAAAGGGTTAGGAAAAGAATATCAACGTATTAAGAAAATATCAAAGAGTTGAATTTCTTTTTTTGTAAGTCATCTTCATACTTTCATTAACTTTTGAGCTCTCTATCATCTATACATACCATATCCACCATAAGGACTTGGACTTGGAGTCAAATTTGAGAGTACATCGAAATCAAGTTTGGTTTATAACAAGAATACCTTCTCTACAAGAGATATAAGCTTACTACTCTCTCCTTGGTTTTCATTTCAATCTTTGTCCATCTTTTCCTTGTGTTTTCATACTGTTCTTGGACTGTTTTGGGGCTGAAACATGTGATTTAAAATTGCAAAGAGTGGAGGGGTTAGCCACCCCTGCTTAGGCTTTGTTCCATAGCTTCTTTTTTTTTCTACTCTTTCTACTTGCTTTCTCCTAAATTTAGCCACTGTTTTTAGCATATTAAGGGCTATTTTGGGGCTGTCCTAAGTTGTTTAATTAATTCATGCTTTGATTATTTTGCTTGTTGTCTCATATGTTCACATACATACGTTTATTCTAACTTTCCTTTCAATAATTTCTATTGTAAGATACTTCATTTTAACAAGAAATCTATCATCCATCTCTTTCTTTTGAAAATTGTTTCAACCGGTTGATGGTTGTTCAAAACATAAGCTAGAGATCTATGCTTAATGGCTTAATCTCTATGGAGGTTCATTGCCAACGACATAGTCTCTCTTTTATGTTGAGTATCACTTCCCGCTTGACACGCTTCTCATTTAGTGGACGTAATCATCACCTCAAATTTAACGGATTAAAGAATGGAAAGGACGAAGAAAAATTGATAAAATGAACAAACCCATATAAAGAAAATGTGCTATATTGCTTGGATTCGGCCGGACATTATGCCGATGCTGAGTCTATTGTGTCAAGTTTTGTTCTACATCAATTCATGATGTTTTGAATGAACCTTGAAGCGTCTCTACTTCTTTTTTTGAGTTCACTCTATGATAGAAGGAAGGGGTGATTCCTTTCATTTATTAATTTTTTGTCGAAATTGTATCCAAAATCATCAAGCAATCAACTTGCTCATTGATGATTTTGGACATAATTCCAACATTCTCTCGAGGCTTTCCTATGACAGAGAAGTGTGAGAGGGACAAACAGAGTTCAGAACAACTTTGGTTGTACTGCTTTCACTTTAGAACACTTCAAAGCATAAAACAAAATTTTGCATAAACTTGAGGCACGGCCGGCCTTCTTGTAGACCCGACCAGCCTTCATAAAGGACTGGCCAATCCTCAATGATTGGTCAGCAGTGTATTTGGAAAAAAAAACAGAGGGCAGTGGCTGAAGATGAAGATGAAACAAAGGCAGACAGAATGGTATCTGAGAAACATCGCACGATCATGGCATATATACTATTGTTGTAATAAATTAGACAGCCCTTCAGCTTATTATTCATTTGGATTTATAATAAGTAGTTAATTCAGAAACTTGGACATTCGGACCCTCCTGCGTGGGGACAAATATGTAATAAGTTGCATGTCTTCCAACTCCATGTCTTTTTCCCTTTTACTTACTTACTTACGATGGTTAGTATAGAACATCACGTTTCATTAGCATACTCTATGTTTTGCATCCATTGTCTTACATGCTTCCAAGACTCGGCTCATCATGCTAACTCGATATCAAATGTTTCAATTCATTGCTTGAATATGTGCTTTATCACATGTCTTGAATAGAATCATATGCCATGCTCATAGCCGAGCTTATAAAATACATAATGTGTGCATTGCATTTAGTCATATTGCATTAATTAGGAGCATACATATTTCTAATTATTTTGCCCTATTTTGGCTTGGAATAGTAGGTGAGCACTTATCACTTTAGCATATCGCATAAGTGTAATTGTTGCCATGCTAAACACAATACCATAAGGCTAATTACTTAATTGATATATTTGTTTGAATGCCAGTGGATGAAGGCTAATTGCTTAAATTGGGACAAATTGATTAATGTACAAACTCACCTTTTCAAGTGACGAGTATCAAAAAAAATTTCAAAAACAAACATGAAATCAAATGTTCAAATTTCTGCAAATTAGTCTATACTTATGTGCGTCACATAGTAATGCTAGTCTAATAATCGGAACAAGAGTATATAATGTAAATAAAAATCACATCATGATTAGTAGAGGCTGATCTTTGATCGGGCGAGTGGGGTGCTTAATTCATGACCTTCCCCTCTCGTACCTAAGTTCCCGAGCTAAGACACTTTGGTGATAACGGATAAGTAGCCTTTGGTACATGTCTCGGGTTTCCTAAATTTTTCAAAAATATTTAGGTGGCGACTCTGTAATCTGGCAAAACAGTCCATTTTTGGCATTTTTGATTCAAATCGATTTTCCAAAAGAATTTCCGGAGTTGGACTCTTTTTTGTTATTTATTTCACATTGCACTTGCAAAATCAAATTCAGAACCATGGGAGTCCGAACTGTAGTGCTAGTCGTATTTGAAAGAAGCACGAAAAGCAAGCTACACCCATATATCAACTCATTCCCAAACAAAAAGATCCCTATATCATAATTCATTTTTTACTATGAATTTTTTTTTAAAAGTGACTAAACTATGTGGCTGTGAATTTTTTTATGTAGACACATTGTAAAAATGACTATGCAAATCCATTTTTTCTTATTTTCTAATGTGAAATTCTGAAAGTGTGAACATTTATCACAATGTTACATTGTTCAAGGGTTATAAACACAATCTGAATGTATCATTTTGAAATAAGTAGACGGATTGTGCAGTGTTTAAGTTCTGTTTTTTAGTAATGTGTGGACTAACTTTGGACATGATGATGAGTATGCATAGTTTCATTTGTTATTGTGAAAGTGACTTTTTATGCTTTTGTGATTGTTTTCAACAAATCCACATTTGTTGTAGTGATACTATACTTCATCTCCTTCTAATTAGTACTAACAAGATTAAATAACCAGAAAAAACTCATCTATTTCAAGAAAATTGATTAACTAATTTTTTGATGAATGGGTATCTTCTCGTTCTTCTTCAATCACCACAATCAATCATATTTGATCACAACCTACAAAAATTGG